CCAATCTACAACCCTTCCCCTTCACCTCCCTAGTTTGTTGGTCTTGTATCAAACAACCATTAGAGAAAAATAAAACAGTATTACCATCTTCCACAAGTTGACCAACAGAAATCAAATCAGTGGTTAATTTTGGCACAAATAAGGTCTTGGATAGGTGAAAGTAAGATGATTTAGAGGTAGATATGTGTAAATCATCACATCCAAATATATTTAGTTTTTCGACAATGTGTCTATTAGAAAGATGGGGTTTAGGAGAATGACCAACGAAGGCCCTTGTCATGTAATTAGAGGCACCAAAGTCTATAATCCAAAGGTGGTTTGAGGAGGGACATAAAGTAGAAGACTTACCAAATATTCCAATAGCTAAGAAAGCGGAAGAGATAGTCGAGGACATGATCTGCCAAATCTGATATTCAGAAATACCACAAGAAGAATTATTCTGTGAAGTTACTGAGGTAATGGTAGATGAGGCATCTGAGTTCTCCATGGTTGTTTGATAGGCTTTATAAGACCCTTTCTTCTTATTAGATCCATTTACTTTTGGTGGCCAAGTTGGACATTCTATAATGATATGTCCCTATTGCTTGTAATACTTGCATGTATTCTTCTTCTTGCAATGTAAGACACACATGTCCGAACTCTTTTCATTCATAGCACTGAATTCGGGAGAAATCCTTCTTCCCTTTTGATTAAGTTGCCAGGAAAACAACATCAATATTGGAGTTTTTCCTCCCATCAAGTGTGGTTTGTGTAGCAAATCCGGTTTAAACTCTCAAAATTTCCCCAAGAATGGTATATAAATCAGGAAATGTTCTTTGACTCAGGATATTAGACATGACAACTTCAAACTCATGTTTGAGATTAGGTGTGGATTCGAGTCGAATAGTTCGAGCCAGAACCTTGAGCTTGATCTCGGTTCAAGTCAAAAGTTCATAAGCTCGAGCTCGATTTTGAGAAAAAATATTTTATAAAAATAAAAATTATATATATATATATATATCTTCATTTTAAATTTAAAAAATTAAGAATTATAATAATTAATAATTATAATATTTTTATTATATATTATATTTTCTATAATTTTATTATATATATATGTATATTCGAGCTGGCTCGCAAGCCTTACGAGTCAAGCCCTAATAGGTTCGAGCTCGRGCTCAGTTGAACCGAGCTTTTCACGAGCTGAGCTCGAGCATCTCGTGAAAAGCTCGGCTCGTTGTCACCCCTATTTGAGATGCATTAGGAAATGCATAACCTTCCTTATATCAAAGTGCTCTTTCATATACCTTATAAAACAGTTTGATGGATCCTTTCCCATGTGTACTAACACATATTCTATCCAAAGGTTAATAAACCCTATATAGTACTCTTGGACCTTTCTCTCTCCTTGATGATATGAGAAGATATCAACCTCTATTTGGTACTGCGTAGAGGTGTTTGATTGCTGATATACCTTCTCAAGATACTCATACATCTCATAAGTTGTTCTATAACCTCACATAGAAATGGCAATGTCAACCTCAACAGATCTAATGATCCATGGTGCAATCTTTGCATTGTCAATTTTCCACTAATTTAAAGCCTTAACATCTGAGTCATCAGGTTTAGGTATAATTCCGTATAAATAGCCCCAAAGGCCCTTTGCCCTCAACATGAAACTGGAAGTTAAACTTCCACAAGGCATGGTTTAATCCATTAAATTTAACATAAAGGACATCTACTCTTTCTGAAACCATTATCACAAAGAAAATTGCTGATTTCCAAGACTGATATTTGAAATCGAAGAAGAGATGATGATAGAGAGGTACCTTTTGATCAGATGTCCAAAAAAGGAAGCTGTTACAGTATGCTGAACCAAGAGAAAGATAAAACCCTTCTTAAACCAAACCGATTTCAACTAGGCTGAAGAGGATCACAATAATTCCTATGGGCGACACTAGATCTAGAGTTTCAAGTAGATCTGATGTCTCCAAGTGCAGATCGAAGAGAAAAAGTGAAGTTGATGGTGTAAACTTCCAAATTTCAGATATGTCAAGGTTTGATCGAAACAACCTTGAGAGAGAAAATTCTAGGGCACAAGAGGGTTCCCAAGTATTGTTAGGAAGACCCCTAAATGCCAAAAAATTCAAAGGATAGAGAAGTAAGCTCAGTAGATCAGATCGTGAGTTGCTCTAATGCCATGTCAGAGTCTGGTCTAGGTCTGTAAATCCAGAAGATAAAGAGACAACCACAAGTTTGTGGGTGTATCCAATATGGAGTTCGACACCATAAGAGAGAAATTTATATTAAAAAAGGAAAAGGACCAAATTGTCCTTAGAGTATAAGAGAAGATAGTGTACAACAAGAGGTAAATTTATAGAAATAGCCCTCTGGGCTAACTCTCGTTATCTATATAGCAAAAAGATTCTCTTTTCAACGTATTCCCATGGCTCTATGTCTCATCACTGTATGGAGCATCCATGACTGGCTGGCGGTGAGTCACCCCTAATTGCTCATCAATGACCTGCTCTCTGTCCATTACTTGGTTAAGTTCTTGCCTTTTAAATTCCAAAATATCACCACTTCCAACTAATTCCAAAACTTTGTTTAGAACAGGGGGAGCAAGTGACACAAATTGTTCTTCACCAAACAAAATCGAGGTGTTAAGAACTTCTTCAAGAATGACCACTTCTGTGATTTCTTCCAAATTTTCCGCCTCAGAAGACTTCAACGGTACTGTGTCCTCATTGTCTGAAGTTTCACAGTCAATCTACTCCTTGTCTTCCACCTCCTAGTCTTCTTTGTTTGATATAGCATATCTCGGATTCGGGCATTTTGTACTAACCTTGCTTGCATCCCGTTCTTCCTGGGTGGTTATCGGTCTCCACTGCAACGATCCTTTTTTCCCCTTAGACTGCGTTTGTTTGCAGTGTAAATACAAAACTACACCGATGGAGTTTAACAACAGTTAGATTTCTAAGTGTAAAAAGCAAATCGGCTTTATACTCATTTTACACTCTTGTGTGTTTGGGTGATCGATGTAAAGTATTCTCCCAACTGTAAAATCTTCTCCCTCCGTCGGTTTGTCCTCTTTTCTCATCGTCCACTCCAAACCAATTCGTTGAATCATCTAAATCAATGAGGATCAAAAAGTGATATGTGCCATTGCCCTTCACTTCCCTATGCCCCGTCAGTCTACCAGATCCCCAAGTCCCCATGCTACCAGTAGAGGCACAATGGGAGCAAAACGCCTAGGCACGACGAGATGCTACAACCATGGAGGGAGAGAGAGAATTAATGGGGTTGCACCCAAATGGAGATCGCTTCCTAGAAGCAGAGAACGTCCATCTGAATCGGCCTGCAAGTTCCCCCAATCGAACCCCGTCGAAGGTGGTGGTGGTGAAGGAGGAAGAGAATCGACCCCGCTCAGAGCTCCCCATAAGCAGAGAATGCCTATCTAAATCGGCCTCCAAGTTCCCCAAATCAAACCCCATTGGAGGTGGTGGCGGTGAAGGAGGAAGAGAATTGACCCCACTCAGAGTTGCAACTAGCAATGAAAAGGGGAAGGGGTGGCTGGATTTGCTCTGATGCCACCGATAGACCCCACCAGCTATTAAGAGAGAAGAGAGAGAGAGAGAGAGAGAGAGAAGAAGAAGAAGAAGAAGAAGAAGAGAGAGCAAGAGTGAGCGGACGAGAGAGAAGGAGAAGAGAGAGATGTAATAAATACATCGATAATTTTGATGTATTTATTACATTGATTATCGATGTAATTAAACAATAAAATATAATTATCGGTGTAAAATTACATGTTTACCAAATGTCTGCAAAATTGAACCGAGGTGTGAAGTTTACCCCTGTTCGATTTTACACCTCTACCAAACGCAGCCTTAGTGGTTTTTTTTTTTCAAAACAACCTCAGTTGGGGACGATAATAGACCACAATCTTTGTCTATTAAAGTATGGATTGATTCCCACCCACGTGCGTCATGAGAGTTTAGGGCCTTGGTCAACTCTGCGATTTGGATAACCTGAGCTCGATTCAATTCAGTGGTTCGCGTCTTAATGTTGTCTTGCAATCTTGCATCAACCCCTTACCACGTTAGCGAAAGAGGGCCCCACACCTTGAAATAGAATTAACCTCCTTTAAGTATGTGAGTTTCTAGCATATAAGGGCAACTTTTTTAGTTTAATATCAATAAAAGTAATATATTTAAAAAAAATTCAAAAATAGGTTAACTTTTTAAAAATAATGTTAATAATGGGCAAAAACACTCTTCATCTTCTTCTTCTTGCCATTTGTTCACTAGAGCCGCCGCCCACCACCGTCTTCCACCATCCGCCACCGCCGTCTGCTGCCGCTCACCGCCGCCTCCGCCCACCTCCGCCTCTGGCAACGTTGCTGGAGATGGGTGGAGATAAAGGTGGCGGTGGCCACGGGCAGAGGAATGACCACCAATGCCGCCGCTGCCACCTCTACCTCCGGCCACCTCCGACAGCATTGCCGAAAGCAGGGTGAAGGTGAACAGAGTGGCGATCGGCGGTAGCAAAAGGCGGTGGCGGGTGGCAAGCTGCGACTCTAGTGAACAAATAGCAAGAAGAAGAAGATAAACAGTGTTTTTACGCTTAATTGATATTATTTTAAAAAARTTAACCTATTATTAAAACTTTTTAAATATATTACTTTTATTGATATTAAACCCCAAAAGTTGCCCTTATATGCTATTCTGTTTCGAGATGCCCGCCTAATACACCTCCCTTACCCGATTGTTCCCCTTCCCAAAATAAACTAATAAAGTTCCTTTGCCCTCTCTCCTCTCTCCCTGTAGTTCTGCCATGTAATGCTTCACTTTCCACCTCAGCATCGTCTTCTCCAGGATCTGCTCATCTCACCGGCACGCCTCACACCGCCCTCATCACATGTTCTTGCCGTACATCGGAAATATCTCCCATCGTTGAATTTATTATTCATGGGAGATGTTCCCAACACAGGGTGGGATGTATCTGTGAGGTTGGTGTGAGGCGCGCTATATGAGGAGTAGACGCTTCCACTTCCGTCAGAACCCAGACCTTCCTCTGGCCTGGTTCCCCGGATTTTCACCTTAATCGTTTGCAGGTTACAGAAGTTGCAATCCTCCAATTTACCCCCATTATATGGACTATCTTCTCCACCACCGACCTCCTCCAGTAGTTGAACGGCAGCCCGACGAGTTTAACAGAGAATTTATTGGCTTCAATATCTTGTTCATTGCAAGACATATGCCATTCCTTGAGGACGATCAACCCTTTCTGGGTGACAACAAAAGAGAACTCCAGCATTTCACCCCCACATCAAGGATAGCTTTGCACTCGCTGAAAGGCACCACTATCACAGGCGTTGTGAAGCTGAGCTTTTTTAATATCTCATCCACAACCGGCTGCCAATCATTAATCTTTTTGGCTGCTGTTAGCACAAACCTACTCGCCCATCTCCTTTTATCCACTTCCAACTCCAGTTTATGCGTCTTAACAGAGCATGCCAGTTCGCATTTCAAATCCTGGTCCACAACTGCTTCTTCATTTTTTTTGTTTGGATTGTCCATGGCAATGTTACTCTGCACCTTCCCTTCTTCATCTATTTCCGGATTGAACTTCAGCGGCGCCGCCTCAGTCTTCTTCGTCACCACCAAGTAATCCTGTAACTTAATCTGCATAACCTTTCCACCCTGATTTTCTGTTACCTTCTGGAACACAAATCAACTTCCTCTTCTCATCCCCAAAACACTCTATAAGCATTTTGAACCAACCTTTTCTGTTGTTCCTCAGCTCCGCCATGAAACTCTTCCTCTCTGTGTTCATCTGACCCTTCCAACCACTCTCTTTTTTGTGTATATTGCTCCATCGACAAAACCTTTAACCCAAGCTACCGCATCTCTAACTAGAAAGATTGATGACTTCTTTCCTTCCCTGATTTTCAAGCAGGTCTTACTGTTGCTCCTGCATTCTTCAAATGCAAATCTCTTCGCCTCACATTCCCATCCCTTCCTCCACCTTGCCTCCAGCTTGAACTAAATTAATAGTCGATATGGCTTTAAATAGAACGGATTGGCAAAACAGGATTCTTATAGTTGGGATAAGGCATGGATAATGATGATGATTGCATTAGGTCTGGTGGAAGCTAGATTCAGTTTGGCTTTTCATATGACCATGGATTTTCATATGTGACCATAGCGGCATGGCCTAAGAACTGATTGGTATGACCTTTGACTTAGATGTGTTGGGAGCTGTCTTCCTACTTTGTATCAATGTTGAAGGATATAAGTTTATTTCATCAGGCTTAGCAGATTGATATTAATTATTTTAATTTATGATTTGAAATGGACTGGGTATTGCGCTTAAGGGGTAAAATCTACTACAGTGATCCTTAGAAAGGATGCCATATGTAGTTGTTGAGGCTTAGAGATGATGATATGGCTGGTTTTGGCCTAATGTTGGTGATATGAATTCAAGTGAGTGGGGATCATGGTTGCTTACGAGGCTCCAATGTACATTTTTAGGCCCTTGAAAGTCAAAATTGATGTACTCAAATCTAAGTCAAGTGTGGTTTAGGGGTGCAACTGTTGAGGGAACGAGAATAGGATCTCGTCATGGGTCGGTCCACGGGGAAAACCTCCTGTTTTCCCTTGTTCCTTCCTGCTCTTGATGAACCTATCTTGGCACCTTGGTGATTTGTTCAAGAGATCACCAACTCTCCTAACTCACTTCTTTAACTGAATATTCAATATCTCATTCAATAATGGTGTCTCCTTAAATAGGAGATTACAAGAGTCCTAATCTTAGGGAGTCTCCTTGCTGAATAGGGAGACTTCCAGTTCTATCTTGCTAAGGATAAGATAAGTTAATCCTAATCTGATAATCCACTAATAAGATAAGATAAGAGCAATAGAATAMKATAAGAACAAGCAAGATGATCTAATCTAATCTGCTGTTGCCGAACTGGGTAAGACGAGGATCATTGAATCACTGCTGCTGCTGGCGGTGGGTCAGGTTCCTGTTGCTGCCGGCGGCGATGATACTTTTTCCCGAGGAATGCGTCCATAACAGCAACTTGGGCGGGCTTTGGTTGGGATTTTGTTAAAATTTGAATAGGCCCGCCCTGGAAGTCTGGGCCCAATGTAGTATAAATTCTTCGAATTGGGTACCCAACTTGCACCACTAGGGTGGTTTGAAGGACATGAGAAGATGCAGTTATTGGTAAAAAGAACTATGGCGGCACCTGGTGATGAGGTTGCAAGAGTCAGAGGTGATTCTTGGTACCATAATTGTGAGATTTTGGAAATCTCCTCTGCTCCTATAGATAATGAGAGTTCTATTCATGCTATCTTTATAGTAAGGGTTGCAACTGGCTGTCTCCTTGGGATATGAGAGGTTGGATGTTGAATAAGACTCTTAAGAAGTGGTTCAGCAGATTCTGGGAGATGAATTAGGTCCTTGGTTGATTATCATTCTATTATAGAAGCTAGATCTTTGGCATTCTTCATGAGAATTTTGTTTATGTAGCTCCAAAGATGTGCAAATAATAATGTTCTAGGGTAATTTGTATTTGGGGCCTGCCCTGCCAGGGTGGGGGGAATGTAGCTAGTCCAGTGAGATTTATAGTCCCTATGGTATATGTTATTTGTGACCTAGCTTTTCTTTGTATAGATCTATTTAACACCCTAATTTCTTTGACCTGTGATTGATAAAAAATGTTATGTTAGGTTGGAATTTCTTGGGGTTATCTCTTAAGAATGATGGTGCTTATTCTTTTTCCTAATGGTGGGGGTTTTAACCTTCTGCATATACTCAGTTTCCTTTGGTCAAGTGCAGGTAAGCTTCAACTTTTTTTTTTTAATGAGTGTACTGATCAACTTCTCAACTTCTTTGGATAAAAGATATTTCTTATTTGGTTGTTTAACATCAAATTGAATAAATTTTACATGTTTAGAAGTTATTGGAACTGTGCTTCTTGTGGATTTGGAGCATTTCATAGTGGAAAATACCAGCTCATCTACCACTTGCAACAAACCTAATTGAATCCTTCCCTTTCTATCATCAGACAATTATTGGACATGACAAGAGAGGCATCGCTTTCTTTTGGAGCTGGTCATATTGGAGTACATTTGCACTTACTTGGTATGCTGTATATGAACTTGAAAATACACTTCTTGTTCTCATTCTTTTTCCCCTGTATGGAGGAAATGGTTGTTTTCAATATTCATTTGAATTACTTTATGTTGTAGATTCACCATGAATGAACCAATTATACTACAGCTGCATATGCCTGTTATGTTTATGAAGTGATATGTCTGCCAAAAGTACATGGTTGTTTCTTCATGCCACTAAAACTTCATAGCTCTTCACTTTGAGCCAATCAAGAGGAAATTGACACTTAGCAACTTAAAGAGGATAATCTGAAGTCTGAACATAAAAGAAGACTCATTGCCACTTACAATTGTAGCAACCCTCTTACAAGAAGCATAAACTATCTGAGGCAGAGCAGACAGCAGTGCCTAGAGTTTGTTGCCACAGGATCAGATCCACTGTAGTTCTTTAATAGGCACTCACTTCATGTCTTAAGATCTTCTGTAGGCTGTTATAGCAGGTTTTTTCTAAATTAGCAAAATGTAGGAGTATTGTTACAATAGAGAATTCTCAAGATTCAGAATTATATTAACAGAAAAAAGCAGAATACTCCTTAATTAGACAATGCAGAAGTTGTTTTCTTAATATCTTATGGAAGTTGCTTGCTTGGGAGGTTTCCTGGAATGTTTTGAGAGACGTCATAGTTTCTAGTCAGTAGTTACTATGAAATTTCAAAGGGTCATCACTTGGGTTCTTATTTATTCATGTTAGTCATAAATGAATTGATTAAACATCTTTACAAGGAGGTTCTATGACTTTTTTTTGATAATTAACAAAATTTCATTAAATGAAATGAGAAAATTTTGCAGCCAAGCTGCAAGGAGGCTCTATGCCATATGTTATTTACTGATGACATTGCATTGATTGGGTAATTAGGACCTGGTATTGAGTATTTCTCATAAATCCCTTTCTCTGTCAGGCCTGCCACTGAGATGTCAGACCTTTCTTAAGGCTTCATTTTCTCCCTCTGTTTTATTTTCCCTTTTCAATGCCTTCATGGTCCCTTGACAATAATAAATACATAACACATTTAAGAGTTGTGGTGGAAGGAGATTGTTCAATTGGAGGACCTGTTCTTAAATAGGCCCTTGGGATGTCAGATTTTCATTGCTAGAGGCAAAAATGTAAGCTTACACACGAATATCTCATTATTTACAGACACATACACACTGAATATCTCATCGAAACGGATCCCAAGGTTGATCAATGTTCTTGCTGATACTGACACAAGAGAAGGGGCAGGAGGCACAATTTGGCTTGGGGAGTACCTTGCCCAGGGGCTCAACAGAATCTATCATAATCGTATATCTGTTTGTTTTTCCTTTGTTTTGTCAGCCAATGCTTCTGTAATATAAGTTGTTACCTGCTATCTCATCAGTGGTTGGAGTTTTACTTTATTCCTAATTAAATCTATTTGATCATGTTAGTGATCCAGAAAAGAAATAATATATTTAAAAGTAATTTTGTAGCATAATAACAGTAACGCATGTTGAATGCGGCCACTTTTCTTTCTGTGTTTACTTTATTCATGGATTAGTATTTGTAAATGCAGAGTGCTTAAACTACTCTTTGTGGATGCATTATGATTTTATGTCCTGTGTACCAGTTGGCAGTTGTTACTTTACCCACATAAATATATGCATCAATATGTGGTGGTTTAAGATCATCTTTAATTGGTTATATAACTCAATTGATATATGCTCATTGCTTTATCATACGTTATTCTCTAAGCAGGGCTGTGGTGCCACTTATTCAGGGTTATGAAGATGCTGGAGACTTCACTGTGAAAGAAAGATTGAGGACTAGCATACAGCAAAATTTAGTCTTCTATCTAAGTGTTGGATCTATTGGATTTTTTGGATTAATTCTCCTCATTTGTATGCGCAGAAACTGGTTTGTTTCTTATTCTATCTATACTTGTTCTGGTTTATTAGATCCTTTATATGTGGACACAGTCTTGGACAGGATATTTTTATTTCTTTTGTTTTTCCTTGAAAAAAAGTACCCATATATTCATCACTTTGAAACAGATATTGAGTCACAGAAGATTTATAGGGGAGACGCAGAAGGACTATAGGCCCATCAGAAACCAGGGAAGCATAAATTTTTTTGCTATACATAAAGATGCTTTTACCCCCACCCCCACCCCCCATCTAGCAAGGCCATCAGCATCCATTTTTAATAATTYTCCAGGAACCCATCTCCTTTGAACGGAAATGGCTGAAATGGCATCCCTGATTTCATTAAGACAGTGAGACAGCTTTCAAAGACCTTGACCTCACTCCATTTGATGGTATTGATAAAGTCCCCTTTAGTGGCTAGAGACAAAGGACTAAAGTTATGCAAAACTTTGATGGAAGCAGTTTTGACAACCCAGGCCCATCAAGTATTGGGGGTGTTCTAAGGGATGATAAAGAGCTAATAATTACCTTGTTCTCAGGCCTGATTGAAGCTGGAGACTCTCCTAGAGCTGAGACTTTGGCGGCATTGGAGGGTATTCAGAGAGCTAAAGACATAAGTATAGGGAAGCTGATCATCGAAGGAGACTCCAATCTGGTGGTGGACTGGCTGAAGGGAGTAAAAAATGGGATGTGGAGGTACAGCAATGAGAAGAAAAACAGCCTTTTGAAAAGAAAAGACTGTTTAAAGAGTTGCAGAAAATCAAAAGAAAATAACAGAAATCAGGTTTCAAGAAGAGAGAAGAGGAAGAAGAAGGTGGTGGCAGCTAGGGTTCTGAGAGAGATTTTCGAACATAATCTCCTCTTACATCCCTAATTTCATTTCATTAAGTTAAAATTTAGTAATTTACAGAGAGGCCCCTAGTTGGGCAGAAAATTAAAAATATAACATAAGAAAGAATAAGAGTCCAAATTAAGGCCCATTTACAGCAAAGAACATAAAAGATAAAAAAAGATAAACAACCTTTCGGCCCATCTTCTCTACACTCCCCCTCAAGCTGAGCATAGATGTCAATCATGCCAAGCTTGCCAGTATCATGCTGAAGTTTAACCTTTGGAATGCCCTTGGTGAGGAAATCAACTAACTATCCTTCAGAAGTGATGAAAGGTAGACACACTTCTCCAGAAGTGTGTGAGCAATGTTGATGACAGCCTGATTATCATAGTATAACATCAATGGCTTATCATGCTCAATACCCAGTTCCTCCATCAAGGATCTAAGCCACAGTAGTTCAGAAACTCCATGAGCCATGGCTCTGTATTCAGCTTTAGCTGAAGATCGGGCAACAACTGATTATTTCTTGCTTCTCTAAGAGACAATATTACCTGCCACCAAGCTACGTTTTCTAGAGGAAGATCTTCTATCATCAATATTTCCAGCCCAATCAACATCTGTGTAGGCTTCAAGTTTCATATTACCATGCTTAGCAAATAGAATTCCCTTTTTAGGGGAACCCTTCAAATAACACAGAATTCACTCTGTTGTTGCCATCTAAGTGTCCCTGGGAGCATGCATGAACTGACTAATGCAACTGATAACATATGCAAAATCTGGCCGAGTCATGCATAGATAAAGAAGTTTTCCAAGTAGCCGTTGGAAGATTCCCTTGTCTTCCAACAATATTCCATCTGAAGCAGAGAGTTTATGACTCATATCAATAGGAGTAGCAACTAGTCTAGCACCCATCTTCCCTATTTCAGAGAGCAAGTCAAGTACATACTTTCTCTGAGAGATAAGGGTCCCATCTTTGGATCTAGCAACTTCTACGCCAAGAAAGTATCTCAATTCCCCCAGATCTTTGATCTCAAACTCTATATGAAGGAAAGATTTGAGACCATCAACCCCTGATACATTATTACCAGTCACAACAATATCATCAACATACACAATCAGGTAAATTGCCAATGATCCTCTCCTCTTCACAAAGAGGGTATGATCAGACTGAGCCTGTACATAGCCAAAGCTAACAAAGGCAGCCCTAAACCTTTCAAACCATGCCCTAGGGAACTGTTTAAGTCCATAAAGAGATTTCTTCAGCCTGTAGACCTTCCCTTTCATATCTGTTTCATACATCCCTGGAGGAAGAGACATATAGACCTCCTAATGTAACTCTCCATTTAGAAATGCATTCTTTACATCCAGCTGATAAGGTGGCTAGTTTGAGTGTGCAGCCAGAGATAAAAGAACTCTCACAGAAGTCATCTTGGCAACAGGAGCAAAGGTCTCTAGATAATCAATCCCATATGTCTGTGTATAACCTTTTGCAACCAGCCTAGCCTTCTACCTTTCAATGGCGCCATCAACATGATATTTGATGGTAAAAACCCACTTATAGCTTACTGGATCCTTCCCTTCAGGTAAATCAACCACTTCCCAAGTGTCATTCTTGTGTAGGGCATCAATTTCTGTTCTCATAGCATCTCTCAATTCTGGAATAGTAAGAGCTTCTGATGCAGACTTGGGAATTGGGTTAGAAGCAACAGAAGAAAGGTAGCCAAAATATGAAGGAGAGAGCAAACTATAAGAAAGGTGTTTGGAAATGCAATGTGTAGTACACTTCCTTTTTCCTTTCCTAATAGCAATAGAGATATCAAGGTCTGGAAATGATGATTCCAAAGGGGTTATATCAGTACTCGTTGTCTCTTCTGTGACTAGAAGTGCAGGAGGCTCATGTGGTGTAGGGGAAACAATCTACTCACTTCTGGTTCTTTGCCATTGGTACAACCTAGGATTAAAAAGAGGACGAGGAGGTAAAGAAGGAGGGATAGGAACACTGGAATGAGAACAAAATGATTGATCCTCCCTTGACTCATTTGAAGGAGGAAGAGTCTCAACAGAAGACTCAACTGGGACAGGAAGGGGGAGAGCAAACAACAGTGACAAATTCTCCCCCTTTGGACAATGCCTCTCCTGAGAAGAATCATAAAAGGAAGAGAGCTTATCAAAGGTGACATCCATTGAGACATACCGAGTGCCAGTCTTTGAATCAAAACAACAATAACCCTTTTGTGTGGGGAAATAACCAAGGAAGATACACTTGTGGGCTTTTGGTTCAAATTTATGTCTCTTGACACTTGGGATATGTACATAACAAGTGTAGCCAAAGACATAAAGTGGAATAGGAAAAAGATCCTTGCCCGGATGAAGAAGACTGAAGGGAGACTTAAACCCCAAAACCTTGGATGGCATACGGTTGATTAGGTAGGTTGCAATGAGAACATCATCGCCCCAAAATTTTGTAGGAACATGTGAGGCAAATAGAATACTTCTTGCAACTTCAACAATATGCCATTTTTTTTCTTTTAGCAACTCCATTCTGTTCTGGGGTCCTAACACAGGAGCTTTGGTGAATAACCCCCAAATCAGTGAGATAGCAGGTTAAGTTTTTCTCAAATATTCTTTTGCATTGTCGGATCTGAAATTTTTAATTCTGGTATCAAACCGGGTTAGAACAAATTCATGGAATTGCCTCACAAGTCTGGGAACTTCATCACAAGACTTCATAAAAAATATCCAAGTGAACCGTGAAAAATCATCAATGAACAAGATAAAATATTTGTAGCCACCCATAGAAGGTAATTGGTAAGGCCCCCACACATCAGAGTGCACAATATGGAATGGAGAAGAAGATCTTTTATTACACAAAGGATAACTGCTTCTATAATGTTTTGACAACTCACACGACTCACAATGAAGATTGGACAAACTAATTCCCTTAAACAGTTCTGGGAATAAATGACTTAATGCAGAAAAAGAAAGATGATCCAAACGAAAATGACATAACATGACTCGACTGATGGACTCTGTAGATGTAGACCCAAAAGCAGCTTTTCCGGGTTGTCCATGGCTCTGTCCAAGAGTGTCCAACAGATATATTCCATTCGCCTCATGGCCACTCCCAATCACTTTCTGAGACTCCAGATTCTAAAAAACACGGTAGGAAGGGAAAAAGGTTACACAACAATTTAAGGACTTAGTTAGGCTACTTACAGATAACAAATTTGTATTTAGCTTGGGTACATGAAGAATAGAAGGAAGTACCAAGGAATCTGTAGCTTTGATGGTTCCCTTGCCGGAGATAGGGGCAAGAGAGCCATCGGCTAGGGTGATTTTGTCACGGCTAGGAAGTAAATCATAAGAAACAAACAAAGTGGAAAAGCTGGTCATATGATCAGAAGCACCGGAATCAATAATCCAAGGGATCCTACGATTACCCTGAAATAGTTGCACGATTGGCAGAAGCTCATATATCTGAATGAGCAAATGCAGAAGAGGTTGAATTTCCTGGAGGGTTAGAAGAAGAGGCCACACCCTCTAGGTGACTGATCATCCTTCCAAACTTCTCATACTCTGCCTTCATAGCTGCTAACTGCTCACTAGCAGTCATCTCTTCAGTTAGGCATCTGTCACTATTTGGACCAGCAACAATATTGGCACTCCCTGCCTTCATATTATCAGACTTCTTTTGAAACCGAAGAGGAAGAAGCTCATGATGCAATTTTCAACACTTGTCTTTAGTGTGTTTTGGTTTCTTACAGTACTCGCATATAATTTCTTTCTTCCTTGAGCTACTTGGAGTCCTTGTAACTCCCTTGGGGTTTCACTCCCATATTAGCAAAGTGATCATTTAGACCAGCCCCTTGAACCTGGACAAGTCTCTTGCTTTCTTCACTACTTACCAAGGCATCGGCTTGAGACAGTGAAACACTATCCTTGGATAGGATATTTTGCTTTGTGATGTCATACTCTGGATTCAACCTGTCAAAAACTCAAACACCTTGTTTCTCTCAACAAGTTTCCTGTAGGTCTTAGCATCATTAGTGGTGTCCTAGGCTACAGCTTCTATCAAATCATTTTCTTGCCATAGAGACTTCAGTATTGAGAAATAAATAGCTAAAGGTTTCTCCCCCTGTTTCAAATTCTTCACATCACTCCTCAGCTTGTAAGCCCTGGCCACATTTAATTTCTGGGAATAGGTTTCAACAACACTATCCCAAATTTCCTTTGTTGATTTCATCCACAAATGGTGTTGACTAGTCTGCGGTTGCATTGAGTTCACAAGCCATCAAATAACAATATAATTTTCTTGCATCCATTTTTCATATGATGGATCATCTTCCAAAGGAGCCTTTTTGCTCCCGGAGATAAAACCCCATTTGCCTCTATTGCAGATATGAATTTTTACTGATTGTGAACAAGCCAAATAATTAGTTCCATCTAGCTTGATTGTGGTCACAGCCAGTAGAGAGTCTACAGAGGCTCTTGGAATCTGTTCAGATTCAGCAACATGCTTGTTCTCAACTTTTGAAGGGTTCATCTTAAAATATTTTGAAAATAACTTCTAACAACTTTGAATAACAAGAAATGAAGACAAAAGAAAAATTGTGTTGGGAGTAGACATGTTCATGGGCCGGGTAGCCCGATGGCCTGGCCCGCACCCCAGTCGGGCTTGGTCATGTAATTAGGCCCGCGGGCCTAACACAGTAAGCCCGACTGTGTTTCAGGCCGGGCTCAACATTTGTCAAAAAAGCCTGGCCTGACTCAGCATTATATATTTTATAAAATACATAATATGTATTTTATATATTATATAAAATATATAAATAATATAATATTTATTGAAATATATATTTATAATTTAATATATACATTTTTTATTTTTTTCTTTATAATCTCTCTCTTTCTCTATTCAGCCGCTTCAGCAGTAGTAACAGCATGGGCTAAATTTTGGGCTCGGGCCAGGCCCGGGTTTGGGCTTTTTATGAGGGCTGGGCTCAGGCCCAAGTTGTAGGCTTGATGGTCGGGCCAGGCTCGGGCTCGGGCCTTAGAAAAATCTATTAATACAGAGTGAAAGCCCGACCTGGCCCATGAATAGGTCTAGTTGGGAGTCAATCTCTATGCAGTTGTACCTGCTACTTGCGTCACACTTGGAACCCGAGAGAAACAGAGAAATCTCAGCCGCTCCTTGTAGACTTCACAGAACACCAATCCACTTGAATCAATCTTCAAGATGAAGGATGTGAAGACTTTCGATCACTAGCACCCAGGTCAAACTCCCTGTGGGGCCTGCAATCAGATTTCTCCAGAAAATTAAGGTTTCGGGCAACACACTTGAATCTGTTAGGAGGACGACAAAAGTCCCCTTCTCTCCAAAAACCACTAACAACTGGGCTGAAATAGGTTTCTTTAACTATTCATCCGATTCAGTTCTCCATACACATTGTGTATGGGAAAAAAGAGGTGAAAAAAAGAAGTCAAGCCTGCTCTGATACCATGAAGAAAAACAGCCTTTTGAAAAGAAAGGACTGTTTAAAATGTTGCAGAAAATCAAAAGAAAATAGCAGAAATCAGGTTTCAAGAAGAGAGAAGAGGAAGAAGAAGGTGGCGGCAGCTAGGGTTCTGAGATAGATTTTCGAACATAATTTCCTCTTACACCCCTAATTCCATTTCATTAAGTTAAACTTTAGTAATTTAAAGAGAGGCCCCTGGTTGGGCAGAAAATTAAGAACATTACATAAGAAAGAATAAGAGCCCAGATTAAGGTCCATTACAGCAAAGAACATAAAAGATAAAAAAGATAAAAAAGATAAACAGCCTATGGGCCATTCAGCCCATCTTCTCTACACAATGAAAAGAGAAGATTCAAGTGGCTGACTTGAGACATGGAAGTTAAAGTAATTTGGGTTAAGAGATGTGCAAACTCCTTTGCTGATGGTTAGCAAAACAAGGGGTAAATAGGGGTACTTTGTTTTGGGCTCAATTGTAATGTTTCTGCTTTATTTGTTTCTTGTTGGGGGAGATAAGAGTGGTTATCTCCTCCCCTTGTACCCTTGATTTTTTAATGAAATCTATTGTTATTGATAAAAAAAAAAGTTATGCAAAACTTAGTGAGCAGGGCAATAACATCTGCTCTATTGGATGTGTCATCCCCAATTGGGCCACTAAAGACCCACAAGAGGCTTCCACCAGATCTAGTTAGAGTGCCTCTTGATGTATTGCTTTTGTCTGGCCTTCTCTTTTGAGAGGCTTTTTCAGGCCTGGTCCTGCCTTCACTGTGTAGAATAGGCATTAATGTTATCTTCATGGTTAATAAAACACTTTGATCTGGTTGATGGTTAAAAGAAAAAAGAAAGAAAGGTGCGGGACCAAAATAGAAAGAGTAGCTGTTGTGGAATTACATTGAAATGCATGGCCTAGAAGGTAGAAGAATCAGGGGCAAGGCTTCTGTAAATGGTGATTTTTTGGGGGGAGGATATGTGGTTGGGGAAGGGAATGAGGGAGGCTTTATACATTTTGTATGGTCAGGGATATCTGTTGCACTTGCCCTCTTCTGTGATTGCTGATTAGTATATAAACAAAATTTTCATTACCTTTTTCACAAAATTGGCTCTTTTTTATACTAAATATTCTTTGATCAATGTTTCTTGTTATCAACATAACCTAAAGGTAAAATGTCAATGGCATGAAAGATTATTGAAGTGATGGGATCAAAATCTGGTTATATAGAACAGCAGGTCAGCAGCTTAGTGAAAAAAAAGGCCATTACCCAATGTTGGTCCCAGCTCTCTGGGGTCTTGGGAGGGGTGGAATGGATACAGACCTAACCTTTGGCATTATTTTTTGCACAAAGTGGCTAGTGCAGACTCAAACCTGTTTTCTTACACTTCTCGGCCTGAAATTTTACAATTACACCAAACAATGATAGAATTAGGTCAAACATTGGGATATTTCTTTTATTGAAATGCCAGTTAATTGTACCTTTGCTTGTCTATCTTGAACTACTTGCATGATGGCATCCTGCTTGCTCTTTAAATGTTAATTCTCCATCCAAACCATTATGAGTGCATCGTTTTTTCACATGGTTGCTTAATACTTGAGGTTTGGTTCTATATTGACAGGAGTGGAGGTATTGTGGGTTTAGCCATGGCTTGCTCAAATACTTTTGGACTTGTTACGGGTGCATTTCTTCTTGGCTTTGGTCTGAGTGAAATTCCAAAGAGCATTTGGAGAAATGCAGATTGGAACATTCACCAAAAAGTCCTCACTCACAGGGTTGCTAAAATGGCTGTGAAACTTGATGATGCCCATCAAGAATTTTCAAATGCTATTGTAGTAAGTTTTTTTCTTTGCAATGTCCTGGGAAGAGCATTTACCATCAGGTTGTTGAATAGTTTGAAAGTTATATATATTGAACCTGAAGTACTTGTCTTTTCTATATGTAGTTGTAACACTAATTGTCGTTTTAGAGTTTTCCAAGCTAAAAACTTTAGGGACAGATGTCTTTAAGAGAACAAATGTAAGCATCCATTTGAAAGATCATTGTTTGTTTTATTTTGTTGAAATCTATTACTAGAGGTCATTTTTCTGTTTATTTGTTTTGGTTGGGTAAGAGAAATAGGCCTACTAAGTAACAAGGGGGAAATGGGAAAATTGATGTAAGTGATCCATGGGCTTACGGTCCAGAACTGCAGGCCCATGTCTAGGACTTTGAGTGGCGCCAAGAGCTCCTGAACCTAGAACCTTTCCATCAATCCCATCTTGAAAGGATTCATGCCCTTGCCCTGTTCATATTGGCCTCAAATAAAATAATTTGTCCCTTTCTTCCTATGGACCTCACATATTTTTTTTTTATAAGTGACCTCACATAAGATTTAGAAGATTCTTCCTCATTTGATTCTGTAAAGTGTCCATTAGGCTCAGTTTGGAAGGAGTACAAATACAAATATGTAGTGCAAAACCTTGTATTTTATATATATTTGTACTCCTTCCAAACTGAGCCTTAGGTTTTCAAGATTTTCTCCTGCTAGATTGCAAAGTTTTGCCCCTAAGGAATATTTACACAATTAGCATGGCTTCAGGAATTATAGCAAAGCTGTTGTCTGGTGGATATCATCATCATCGTCATCATCATCTAAGCCTTGTCCCAACTATATGGGGTTGACTACATTTATCCTGTTTCACCATTCCATTTTGTTCAGTGTCATGTCCATCGTCAAATTATAGGCACTTAAATAATTTCTTACTACTTTGAACCAAGTCCTTTTTGGTCTGCCCCTAGCTTTTCTATCTCCTTCAACTTGTAACAGATGCTCTTTAAATACATATTGTGATATTCTTTTGAGAATAAAAAGTAATAGAATCAAAATAAATATCAGCAGTCTTCTGTTCCCTTGGTTTGGTCTGCTTCCAAGCTGATAAAAGTGCTATATCCTTAAAACCCTAGGTTCAGATTCTTAAGCATTCTCTTGATGTTGGTTCTAGTAATTCCTTTTGTTGTTTTTATGTTCTTTGTTTTATACTTTTTAGGTGCCCAATAGGAAGTAATTTAGATGAGTCCTCATAGATTTCAATATTTCATCATTAGGAGTTGAAAGGCTGCGACAGATTAGGCATCACAAGGAAGATGTGTTATTTAGATGGGATGGTCCTGAATGCAGGACTAATGAAATGAATTTTGACCTAAGGCGAATTCTAGATCTCAGAGATGTTTGATTAAAAGCATTGTTGCAAATGGTTTAGGAGCTGATGCAGGCAGGAAGATTTAGGACATCAGGTGTAGTAATCAAGATAAGGGAGCTTCCTTAGGGGAGAGGGAGGAAAGTAAGAGGACGAGTTTTCCTGTAAGAAAATTTGAGGAAGAGGGAGAGGAAGGGGTGGAGGTTTTGAAGGAGAAACCGTCTGAAAGCAGGGGGAAAGGTGAGAGAAACAGAAGTGATCAAGAACTGACTGGAAAGGAAATCAGAGAGGGGGAGGAGATAGAAGGGAATAAAGCTGACACTGAGAAGGTCAGCAATGAGATAGGAAAAATCGCGTATCGGCCAATATGTATTGTTTCAGGAGCTCCCACATAGGGTGTATCAGGGTTCTGACCGGTTCAGGGGGTGGAGGAGCCTTAAACCGGCCCCCTGAACCGATTTTGAAAAATAAAAAATTTAAAAAAGTACTGATACGCCCCTACTGGTGTATCGATATTTTGCACCTTGGTGAGGAAGGCAATCAGGCAATTTGAAAAAAATAGAAGGCAGGAAATGAACAGGAGAAGCACAGTTGGGGAAGGGGGTGAAAACTCGGAGAAGGGTGAAGGAAAGGAGTCAGAAGTCGTTGATGAAGAGTAAAGGATGAGGTGGGTTGTGTTGTATCTGAGAGGGTGAGGTTTGGAGATACGTGGCTGCGCTATGTTTAGGTTTTGGGCTCAACTAGCTTGTTGGTGAAATTGCCTTTTGTTTTGGTCGAGGGTTTTTACTGTTTTCTTTTTATTTGATCTTGGGCTGGTGGGGGTGCTTGATCTTTGGAGCTCTATTTGTTTGAGGGCCTTCGGTTGGGTTTTGGCTGCTTATTGTTTCTTTTAGCTCCTTTGGAGGTGTTCTCTCAACACTGTTCTACGTTGTAATCATTTTGTTGTCTTTTTTAATGAATTTTTCTTTTTTATCTAAAAAAGTTGATGTTTGGTTCATTGTAAATCCTGGGCCCTTTTGCTGTGGGAGGTGTGATTAGAGACATCATTAGGTGTTGCAAGATTGAGCTACTTTGAATCAGTTGGGGAAGCGGATTCATTAATGTGATGTTTGGTCTTGCAGGGAAATATTTGTGTGTGCGTGCATTGTTGGATGAGATGGAAATTCAAATAAACATGGTTGAACCTGTTATAGTTGCTGGCTGAATTTTAAAAAAATTTCTAGCCCAACCTGAAAACCAGACCAGACTTGAAACCCAAATTGAATACTGATCACCCGGTGTTTGGGTGAATCCAGTGATGGCTCTTCTCATGGTATTGGTTCGGCCTATAGGATAGAACTTTCTAAGGAATTCTTATTGCATTGCTGCCCAAGTTCTAATACATCTTCCTATAGTTCTCAACCGGTGCTTGGCCTTGTCTTTCAAGGAGAAGGGGAAAAGAGCCAATCTAAGGGCATCATCATTGAAGTTTTGGATCCTTACAATGGAACAAATTTCTAGAAACTCGTCTATGTGTTTGTATGGGTTTTCACTCGGGTTCCCATAGAAAGAGGGCAGCATCTGGATTGTGCTTGACTTAATCTCATAGTGTAAGGCTTGAGTATTTGGCAATTGTATGCAGGATGAAGGGTTATATTGGGTTGGAGTGAAATATTCCTTCAACTTTCTGGGTCGGGCATCATTGATTCTGGTCATTTGGTTGCGTTGTTGGTGATGGAGGTATTTCTTTATTTCGGGTATGGGTTCTACAATTTCTCTCCTTAGAGATCTCCTTCTCAACATACAACTCAGAAGTCCCTTTTTCTTGTTAAAATTTGAATTTTATTTTCAAATTTGGATTCTTGAAATTTAAATTCTGAAATTTAAACTCAATTTTGAATTTTTAAAATTTTTATTCTCTTTTTGTTCTTTATTTCTTTATTTTTTTATTTGAAATTTAAATTCAAATTTAGATTTTGAAATTTAAATTCAAATTTGAATTTTAAATTTAAAAAAAATACAAGCAAATCAACCACGCAACCTAGGGTTGACCTAGGGTTTCCTAAACTAGTGGTTCAACCAATGTGAATCCTTTTAGGTTCACTTGGAATTATACCACTTCCTTTGGTTAGCCAAGTAAGAGGTGGGGATGTGGGAGGCTCCCCTTGCTCTCGCAAGGACCTAATTAAGTAACCACAAAACCCGCTTAGGCGTAGCCGTTTAACCTCTTTTCTTAGACACCAACCGTCGGTTACGGAAAGTAATCATAAGCTTCCCTAAAATTTAACACACCTTTGAACCAAGTGTGAGGCTCCCTAAAAGATCTTGCTATCCAAATTTTAAATTAGGGTTTAGGGTGAACCGCATGTGAAGGGTGGTGATTTTTGGGCCAAGGAAGGGTGATGAAATCCCCTCCTTATCTTATTTAAGTTGGATACCCTTAAATGGATTAACGGAAAAACAAAATAAACAAAGCAAATGCAATTAATTACAATGCATGAACAATTATTTCTAAAATTCCATTCAGCAATTAAACATAAAATAATAAAACAAATTAATTAAGCAAAAGGAACAACAAAAAGAAAACCTAGCACATTCACAACTAACAATGATAATTTCAGCAATTTAAATAAACCTATATGATGCATGCTCTAGAATATCACACCCTAAATGTTGGAATACAAATGCAAAACTTTTAAAATATTAAGTATTTTTTTTCTTTTTCTTTTCAATTTATTTAATTATTTTTAATTTTTTTTAAATTTGAAATCTTAAATTTAAATTTTGAAATTTGAAAATGAAATTTAAATTTAAATTCAAATTCAAATTCGAAAATTCGGACAATTTCCTTGTTAACAATAAATTATTCAATTAAGTAACTAAAAAAAGGAAATTAAATAAGGCAACAAATAATTATCACAAACAAAAAATAAAAGAAGTGATTGTGCTAAAAAAAGAAATTAACTACTACCAAAATAAATTCTAATAAGAAAATTACTACTCTAAAAGTTAAACCGAAAATACAAAAAATAAGATTATGCGGCAATAAAAAATAAAATAAATGAAAATTTTTTATTTGAAAGTAAAAGAAAAAAGAACATAATAAAACAAAAATTCGAATAAGGAATTAAAATAAAGAAAGAAAAATAAATCTAAAAGCAAAACTAAAGGAAAATAATACCAAGAAAATAAATCGAGTCTAGGAAAAAATTAATAAAAAAAAAAATCAAAAATTAGTGTTCTACCAAAAAAAGAGTTCGAAAAAAAAAGATAAATAAAAATAAAAATGGGACTACACCTGAAACGCAATCCAATTAATATTCTCTTCTCTCCCACAGTCCCGYAATGCTCCAGTACCCCACCTTTTGCTATTGCGTCCTACAAAATAAAAAAAAAGTAAGAATTAAAATGAGATAACGGATCAAGTAATAAAACAAAAATAAAAAATAATGAAACAAATCTGGATAAAGCAAATAAAAAATTTTCTCCGTTGCTTCCCTGGCAACGGTGTCAAAAACTTGGTGTGTCTGGAAGTGTGTCGTTAACCACTTTGGAATACTAGTTTTAATATTTATATTTTTTTTTCCGATTTTCAAACAATTACAAACGCAGTAAATGGTGAGAATGGGTCATGTCCACAGGGAAGCGAGGGAAAAAAACATTATTTACTTATAAAT